TAGCTTTCGAAGCATCATGAGATTCTTGCAGAATTAGAGGAAATGGAGACTGTAAAAGATCTGTAACAAAACATTAAACATTAGAATTTATATTTAAAAGCGAAGCAAAATCTTAAGTTGAGGATAATGAAAGATTCTTACATTCTTGACTTTAGAGCCACCGTTGGATTTTTCCAAAAAAATGCAAAAAAATTGATGCTGTGAAGAGTCTGTAACAAACATCAAACATTATACTTTGTTGCTAAATTAGTAAAATTGAATAAATTGAATATATAAAACTACTTACGATCTTGATCTCCAGGAGAGGCCTTATCCTCTTGAGCACTGACTCTAATACCGAAAACGAATAATGAACAAGTATAAAAAAAGAAAAATAAAGAACTATTAACCGGTGGACTCACTGACTCTAACTTCGCGAATTGTAATTTAAATGAATTAATAGTTTAATTTAATGCTATTTTTCTCAAAAGAATATCAAAATACTGCGCGACAAACATTGACTCTACCGACCGCATTGCGCGCGGTCACACAAATTTTCTGAAAATAAAGCTGATTAGTACGGAGAGAGCAATACGTTTATTTAGAAAATACTGCTATTTTTTTAGAACATGATTATAAAGAACTTCAAATATGTATTAAAAATATTAGTTGTAAATTATAAAGTATTTCTCAATATTGAATACTGTAAATCAAACACAACTATTTGCAGAAATTGTATATATGAATGTCCGTTATTGGAATATGAAGTATGCACATTAATAATATACCACATCGTGTGTCATAAATATTCGAAATGTTTGCATAGATCAAAATTTCACAACTAAATATATTTAAAAAATAATAACTAAGAAAAACGCGTGTGAAATCTTGCTTGAATCGTTTAATTGTACAGCAGGTATACTTCCTCAGATGAAGCAGGTAACTAAAGATAGTATAGTAAATATAGTAGTACGAGAACATTAAATTTAATAATCTAATACAAGACATACATCCAAAGTATATACCGACAAGCTGCTGCAACATCTATATTTGAAATAAAACATTAATTGATTTTATTTTTTCCATTTTCATCTTTGTATTACAAAATAATTACAAAACTACGTATTGTGAATTGTGTTTCAAGTAAATATACATTGTATATCAAATAAATGTTATCAAAAATAAATAAAATGTTACCAAATTTCCGTGAAAGTTCAAAAAATTATCCGTTAATAATCGTGACG